ATCAGTGGCCTTCATGTACAAACATACAAAAACCTTAGCCCGTGTGATCAACTGAAGAAAATTGTAGATTGAGAATTAGATGGCTCTGGTGAGAATGCCGGGGAATACTTTCAGAGGGGCTACTATCACCCACGACCTAAAGCTGCCACCTTAAAGTGGTGGTCGGGCTTGAGTGCTACAATGATCTCGCGGACTACACTGGCTGTAACTTCACTCAACAAGGTGCAACCATGCCAGGAATGTCAAATGAAAGCATTCAGACTACGGGTGATCGTAATACGGGGAGGCGTGGGGGTAAAATCGTACTGTCATCTGCGGTAAGAGTGTGAAGGCGGTTAGGTGTCTCCGTCAGGCGAGCAGCATGCCCATATTCATGGGAGCAGCGATACTGTCTTCCCTCGAGGAAGACAGGGTTATAAAATGTCAGCCCTAAAAACCGCACACTCAGATTGCCCAACAGTTACTGTGACCGCTGCCGCATTATACAACACGGTCGAAACACTTTTAGGACAAAAGACTCTGGTGCTGCTCCAAAGGCACCTGCTGGGCGCATCCACATCAAGAATGAGAGAGTATCGCCTTACTCTCTGCGCCCTCCTGCAGCCGAGAACCTTCCTAAATCCACGATACCCTTTCTATGAAGGATCTTTTAGCGTCCGTACTCCATATCGACTTAGGGAAGAGGCAATGCTCGCTGCAGCCTTATACTCCATTAAAACTGATATATATTGTCTGTAAAACACACATACAAGACCCAAGCGTGGCTATGCATCTCAAAATGCCAAACACGAGCCCAGCTTTCTCACATTTTCCCTTCTTGTGCCCCGTGATCCAGAAGCGGTGGAATATATGGCATGGGGGTCGCACTCAGCCCAAGAGCTGGACGCGCCTTGCTGGATTGGATCCCAGTGGACAGTCGTCTTTGCACCGTCCGGTTATCCAGCTCAATCCCTCTCGACAGAAAATTAGGCGCATGGTTGTAGTGTCGACGGACTGCAGTTTTGATGCTGAGAAGGACAGTTGCTATTCAGTTATCGAGCAAGAAGCACTGACACTGTGACCCACGCGGGCGATAAGGATGCCCAAGTCTGTTGTCTGAGCTCTCTGGAATCACATCTGAGCGTCGTCCGTCACACGGACAACGGAAAGCGACTCCTCCAGTTGTGTACTGACGATCAATGGTTTCCGGCCGGTACGCACTTTCAGTATAAACATTCGCATCGCGTAACCCAGCGACCACCAAATGCAAAACAACTGCGGACCCAGTTGGATCACGTGGCCACCACCTGCCGGTTGAGAGCCACAATTCAAGACTGCCATTCCCTCTGCAGCATTCAACTTGACTCCGACTACACCATGGTGCGTGCACATCTGACAGTTCGTTTACCCTCAGTCCCTTGCAAGTGAGCAAGAAACATGGCAATCCACCATCTTCGAAGAACTACCATAGCTCAGTAGTATCCACCTGAGCGTGCTAGACAACTCTCTACAGTAAACCAATAATATACTGATAGCCAGCACCTTGACGAAGCAGGGCAAAATGTGGAAGGAGGTATGCTAGTGGCGTTTACTGTTGTCTGTTCAACTTCTTCAATGCGAGCAAATGACCACTGCACGTCGCTGATGATGCCAGGAAATCCACACCAGCAGGCAACGAGTACGATAGCGCATGCAAAACCCTCAAACGTCGAGCAGTGAAGGGCCTAAGGAGAGACCGAGGTCTCTGGTGGAAATCGAAAGCTCGGAGAAGGCTTTTGCTTCCGCAAAACCGTGCACTATGTCAACTGATACGACTGACTGGCCCCAGGAAAACAACGGTCAATGAAAAGATAGGTGAAAAAGGCGATTCATTAATTCCCTCACAAAACCGTCAACTGAAAAGATGGTCCAACCACTTCGAAGAACAGTTTAGCTGGCCTCCCGTAACACAGCCTCTAAAGATAGTGCAAGATAGTGTAAGCCCTAATGCCTGTCGGGAAAATCAATATAGTACGAAATGTCCATACTGAAACGTGAGAAGGCACCGCAACCGGACTGTCTGTATCCAGTGTTCTTCAAAGGACGTAATCTCAGGTGACATACATAACAAAATTCATCTCTGCTATATGAAGTGAAGAGGAAGTGCCTGAAAAATGGGGCGGGCATGTGGACAGTCATTCCCATCTTCAAAAAGCGTACGCAGACGCTATGTGAAAATCACCGTGCCATCAGTCTCTCAGCTGTGGCATCGAAGGTGCTCTTTGGTCTTATGCTTTGTAGGCAGACTGAACACCGGAAGCGACAGATCTGTGAAAACCAAGCCGGGTTCCGTCCTGCAAAAGGATGTATCGATCATATCTTCACCCTCCGACAAATTCTGGAACAGCGAGCAATACTTGTTTCTTGATCTGAAAGCTGCCTTTGACTCTGTGGACCGTCAGACACTATGGCAGTGTCTGTGGAGCAAAGCTTTCCCCCATAAATTATTGACCCTCCTTAAGGTGCTGTACACCATCTCCCGCGGCCGTATGAAGGTCTACGGGAGGTTCTCGCCTGAGTTCACCACATCAAGTAGTGTCAGACAGGGCTGTTCTCTTTCACCTTTCCTCTTCAACTTCGTCCTTGATGCTATCACCACCAGCATCTAATGTCTGTGGGGTCGAAGTGCTGCGGGGGCGTCCACTCACAGATGTCGAGTACGCAGACGGCATAGTTCCTCTTGGATCTGACCCCGTGGTAATGCAAAGAAAATTAAATAATCTGAATAATTCTGCTTCACGGTTTGGCATGCGCTTCACACCTGCAAAGTGTAAAGTGCTGCTGCAAGACTGAGTGGGCTCGAACCCTAAACTAATGCTTGCGGATAAACCGATTGAGGTAGTGGACAAATTTGCTTACCTGGGCAGCTGTATCAGTCCCGATGGTCTCGCGAAAGATGATATTTCCATCCGGATGGGGAAGGCCAGAGCAGCTTTTGTGAATCTGCGCCACCTGTGGCGTCAGCTTCTCTGCTAAGGGTAGAGTTTACAATGCTGCGGTGCGCTCCATAATATTATCAGGGTCACAAACCTAACCACTGCGCGCCGAAGACCTCAAAAGACTTTCAGTGTTTGACGGCCAATGTCTTCGAGCATTACCCGAGTCCGGTGAGAACACCTGATCAGCAATGCTGAAGTATGCTGGATGGTTTTCGGGAGAAGTAACTCACCCACGATAGATGAACTGATCAAATTCCATGGGTTGCGCTAGCTTGGCCACGTGCCCTGTAAGTCATTCGACTGAATCATTCGAAGGGCTCTTTTCGCCCGTGAAGGGTTGAAACAAACCAGGGGAGGTCAAACAATGAACTGGAAGCGAAGTATGTAAGCTATTACCAGCAAACTCAGTTGTTCATAACCGTTTCCATGGATGAGGACCCCGAGACGGAACACATGAATGATTAGAGGTGATGTCAGACATGGTCCTGACGCGCTCTCAGTCGTGCTCGTGCATCCAGGCTATTGCCTTCAATGCATAGCTCCCCTCCTAATCTCCCCAAAGAAAAGTCTACCGACAACCCTGTATCTACGCATCAATTCTAGCAGCTACCGTCTTCAATGCACAGCTATCTGCCTTATCTCCTCAAACTATTGGTGAACGAAAGTGTGGGAGCTGTAACCAAATACATTAAGTGCGTGGCTCTCTCAGCTGATGATGATGATGATGATGATGATGATGATGATGAT